GCTTCATACTACTGCATGTTAATTAAAATTGTACGGGACTTTTCAGGAAACAAAGAGTCGTTGTGACATCACTGGCGGATCCAGGGGGGGGGCAACGGGGCAATTGCCCCCCCCGAGAAATCCGCCGGTCTCCCTCTCCCCTGCCAGCAGCACATGCAGGTGCTAGCCCTGCAATGTGCCTGCGGACCGGAGGGGAGATCGGAGATCTCCCTCCCCGGTCCGCAGGCACATTGCTGACAGCCGGCAGGGGAGGGAGGGAGTGAGAGGGAGGACCCGGGAGCTCAGTCTGCAGCTCCTCCGGGTCCTCCTCTCGCGAGATTTGGAGCGTTGGCAACGCTCCAAATCTCGCGAGAGTGAACTCTAGCCCGGGAGCGCGGGCTAGAGTTCACTGTAACCACTGGGACCACCAGGGATGAAAATATGTCCCCCCCCCTCCTCAATAAAGGTAAGAAGGGAGGGGGGACATATTTTTTTTTTTTTAATTAAATAAAGATATATATTTAAAAAAAAAAAGCCCCCCCCTACCCTTAACACACACACACACACACACACACATAGCCCCCATACTGCCCCCCATACACATGCTGCCCCCCCATACACACATACTGCCCCCCCATGCTGCCCCACCATACCACACATACTGCCCCCATACACACATACTGCCTCTATACACACATACTGCCCCCATGCTGCTGCCCCCATACACACATACTACCCCCCCATGCTGCCCCCCATACACATACTCACCCCATGCTGCCCCCCATACACACATACTACCCCCTGCCCCCATACACACATACTGCCCATACACACATACTGCCCCCATGCTGCCCCCATACACACATACTACACACATACTGCCCCCCATACACACATACTGCCCCCATGCTGCCCCCCCATACACACATACTGCCCCCCATGGTGCCCCCCCATACACACATACTGCCCCCCCATACACATACTGCCCTCATACACACATACTGCCCCGCATACACACACACTGCCCCCATACACTGCCGCCCCATACACACACATTGCCCACATTCACACACACACTGCAACTGTTACACACACATACTGTCCCACACATACACTGCATCCCTGACATACACTGCCCCCCCTACTCACACACTACAACCTTCACACACACACACACTGCTCACACACTGTCCCCCTCACACACACACACACACACACTGCACCCCTTACACATTGCACCACACACACACCACTGCTCCTATGCCCTACTACCGCCCCATTTCCCAGCAGACCTCAGGTAAGTTGTCAAACTGTTCTTAAACGGTTTGACTACTTACTCTAGGAGGGGGTCCCGGCACTATTGACACCATAACCACTACACTGAGCTGTAGTAGTTATTGTGTCTGGATTATTTCTTTAAATAATCTACAAGTGCCCCTCCCGAGATCAGGCTCTGGATCCGCCTCTGGACTCCAAGCCACCCTCCTGGCAAATAAGGTAAGCTTAAAGGAGGGTGGCTAGAGATATAAAAGAGAAAATTGTATGTGTGTGAGCGTGTGTGTGTGTGTGTGTGTATGAGTTGTTGTGTGTGTATGAGTTTGTGTGTGAGTGTGAGTATGCGAGTGTGAGTATGAGTTTGTGTGCGTGTGTCAGGGTATTTGTGAGTATGTGTGTGTCAGGGTGTGCATCTGTGTGTGTGTGTATATATATATATGTCAGTCTGCTTCTGTGTATGTGTGTGTGTTAGGGTGTGGGCATGTATCAATGTTTGTGTGTGTCAGGGTGCATGTGTGTATATGTCGGTGTGTATCTATATTTGTGTATGTGTCGGTGTCTATATGAATTTGTGTGTATGTGTCGGTGTATTTATAGGCATCTGTGTGTTAATGTGCATGAATATCTGTGTAAGTATGTATGTATGTATGTGTAGTGTATGTACATCCAAGCAGTCAAACACCAGCACAACATACAAGCACACTTCTGCAATCTAACTCAAATATTACATACACACACCCCTGCATTCAAACTTAAAAAAAAATATATACAAACACACCCCTTCCCTCAAACACAAATACATCACACAAATGTACATGCGCATTTAAAAGTGAACATTACATTCAGACACATCCCTGCAATCAAACGCAAACATTACATACAAACACACCCCTGTATTAAAACACAATAACTATATACAAATGTAGCGATTTGTGTGTATTAAAAGACTGTGTTGCTTTAAGAGGCCGTGGGATTCCCTGAGTAGGAGGACCTAGGAGAGCACTCCATGTTGTGAGTTTAGCAGTGACTCTGCATGTTATGTTTTGTGACTCATGGAAGTAAAGCTGTTCATATGAAGTGAGTGTCAGCATTAATTATTCTGCAAAAACCACAGAAAACACAACATGGTGTTAGAAGTACAGGGTTGAAGGGAGAGATTACTCCAGAGTTTGGTGTGCTGAATAGATTTCCAACAAGCTGCCATTTCGCTGTGAGCTGAATAAAGTCTGCAAAAATCAAGTTAGGACAACATGGAAGCTCTGTAGCCACCACAAAAACTTCAGTTAACTGGGAATGTTGCTGAAAATTGGAGGAGATTTAAACAAAGATTTGAATTATATCTCTCTGCAATCGATGCTGACAGAAAAAGTGAGAAAATGAAATCCTCATTAATCCTGCATGTAGTGTGTGAAGAAGCACTTTAAGTGTACAATAGCTTTGTGTTTCCAGAAGGAGAAATTCTAAAATCAACCCCAATAATGGATAAGTTTGAAAAATATTTCATACCTAAAAGGACTGTCACATATGAAAGGCATAGATTTTTCACATGCATGCAGAAGCCAGACGAAATGATTGATCAGTATGTAAATGAGCGGAGAAATCACAGCAAAACATGTGAGTTTGGAGAATTAACAGATTCATTAATAAAAGACAGAATTTTATGTGGATTACCAGATAATGGACTGAGAGAAAAGCTACTTAGAGAGCTCGACTTGAATTTGGCAAAGGAATTGGCATTGTGTAGAGCAGCAGAAACTGTTAAATCACAGGCCTAAGAGTTAGTTACTGAAACATGCACTGTAGATCAACTGAGGAGTGAGCAAAAAAGTAAAATGGAGACTAAAAAGATGCAAAACACAAAAGGAAACAGAGTGGATATAGATAAAAAGCTAAAACTTTGTAATAGATGTGGTACTGAACATCAACAGAGAAAATGCCCTGCATATGGACAGAACTGTAATAAATATGGTAAACTAAATCGTTTTGCACGCTGTTGCAAAAGTGCAGGAAAGCAAGTTCACACACTGAATGAAAATGCTAGAGAGAAATTCTATATATACACACTGCTGCAGAATGAGAAACAAACAGAGGAGTGGATCCTTACACTGAAGGTACAAAACACAGACATACCCCACTTTTAAGTACACAATGGGACCAGAGCACAAATGTAAAACGAAAATGTACTTAAAGTGAAGCAATACCTTTTTTTCACTTCCCAATGCATGTACTGCATTGCAATAGTAATTTACAGGCATAACTGATACTGCAGATTTCCAGTGATTTTATTTCCAGTGATTTATTTAGTGATTTCCAGTGGGCTTTAATTCCGTTAAAACAAACAGTAGAAATAAAAATCTCATTCCAGATTGTACCGTTTATCTTTAATGTTTTACTCATCTGACAACCTGAAACTGGGAGGAAAAGTAAAATTAACCTGCCCACTGGGCCATTTTCTGTCAATACAGTGCCAGTTTGTATTTGTTAGCAGCTTAGTTGCACACTGTTTAGAAACACCTCTTCATTACTTTAAGCATTTATGGTTTAACTTTGAAACCTCAGAATTGTGGCTAATGCAGCTAAGCTGCTAAGTCATAGTTATAGAAAATGGCAGGGTAAACCCTTTCACTGGATGGCGCCGATTGTAGAATATGGGCAATGTAGGGGTGGGGAAAAAAAATATGTTCAGCTAAGAGTAGGCATTATAAATTTTAGATGATTAACCTGTGCCATGTCAGAAGGTGTGAAAAGTTATTGCCCCAAAGGCACTGAACTGAGCTGCTCCGGGCGAGAATAGAACCTTCCATTTCCTGTTCACTTGCAGACAGAAGAGGTGCGGGAATGTCTGTACTCGCGAGTGTACTTAAACTGATTGTATGTAAAGCAGGGTATGCCTTAATGTTGCCATTTAAATTAGATACTGGAGCCCAAGTTAATGTGAAATCAGAGTCTGTGTTTAATCGGTTGAAGCCGAGACCAGCACTACAGGAGACGAATATCAAGGTTACAGGATACTCTGGTGCAAATATACCTGTAAAAGGCAAATGTTTAGCAAAAGTGACATATAAAACTGAAGTGCACACTATCTTTTATTGAGTTTCCAAAAATGTTCAAGCAATATTAGGCTTATCATCTTGTGAAAGACCGAATCTGGTGAAAAGAGTACTAGTGCTAAAAACTGGAAGTGATTCAGAATATGAAGGCTTATTGGAAGAATACAGTCATTTATTTAATTGACTTGGTTGTCTGCCAGGTGAACACACCATCAGGATATACAAAACGGTACTGCCAGTGGTACATCCCTGCAGTAAAGTGCTGTTTGCACTTCAAGACCAACTCAAAGTAGAGCTTGACAGAATGGAAAGCATGGGGGTCATTGCAAAAATAGATGAACCAACTGAATGGGTAAATTCTCTGGTAATAGTAGATAAGAAAAATTGAAAATTACGTATTTGCCTGGATCATTGCGATTTAAATAAAGCAATAAAAAGAGAACATTTTAAGTTACCTACTTGTGAAGAGATCATGTCACAATTTGCGAATGGTAAATATTTCAGTAAATTTGATGCTTCCTCTGGATTTTGGCAATTGAAGTTGGATGAAGAGAGTTAAAAATTGTATACATTCAATTTACCATATGCCAGATACAGATTTCTGAAATTACCATTTGACATTGCATCTACCCCAGAAGAATATCACAAATTCTTATTCACATGATATATGAGCACACTAAAGGTGTGAACATGTCCATGGATGATATCATATGGGGAACTACTAAGGAAGAACATGATTCTCATCTCAGAAAAGTTCTAGAAGATACTCAACAAGCCAACTTGAAGCCAAACAAAGACAAATGCCAATTAGGAGTAAAAGAGCTGAAGTTCGTTGGAGACATCATCAGCGATGAAGGGGTAATACCTGATCCCATGAAGATATCGGCAATAGAAAACTTGAATAAACCGCAAAACATAAAAGATGTGCAGAGGTTTCTAGGTATGGTAAATTACATGGGAAAGTTTATACCCAATCTGTCAGAGAAAATAGCACCTCTGAGATGGTTACTAGAAAAGAAGAATGAGATATCATCTGATGCATCACAAAATGGAATAGGAGCAGTTCTACTACAAGACTATGATAGCACCTGGCAACCAGTAGCATATGCTTCCCGTTCCATGTCTGTTGCTGAAACTAGATATGCTCAGATAGAGAAAGAACTTCTTAGTATCTTGTTTGCATGCAACAGATTTAATCAATTTATTTCAGGACAATCAGTTAACATGGATACTGATACCATTGTTCACAAAGTCACTCAATGACATTCCTGAATGAATGATGATCAGATTGCAACGTTATACCCTAAAGGTGACATACACACCAGGAAAACTTATGTATACGGCTGATGCATTGTCCAGACCAGTGGATGAAACAGCTGGTCAAAATTACAAAGTAGCTGAAGAAATTCAAGCTTACTTGGATTTGGTCACTTCAGCTATGCCTATTACAGATGCAAAGATGCAGATGATCCATCAACAAGCAGAGAACGATTCTACTTTGAATAGAGTTAAACATTCTATTCAGATCGGATGGCCTGATGTCAAACAGAGTTGCATAGTTGGAGTCCAAGAATACTGGAACTGCAGAGCTGAAATGACTGTCATAGATGGAATCGTCTTTAAAGGCAGCAAAATTGTGATTACTCACCGTCTCCGCAAGCTCATGCTGGAGAAAATCCATTAAGGTCATTTAGGCATTGAAAAATGCAGGTCAAGGGCAAGAGACATAATGTTCTGGCCACGAATGAACCAAGACATTTCTGATATAGTGTCCTCCTGTGACACATGCTTAAAGTACCACTTATGCAATGCAAAAGAACCACTGCAGCCACATCCAGTTCCAGAAAGGCCATATCAAAAGGTTTGTGTTGACTTGTTTACATGGAACAACGCAGATTTTGTCATTATCACTTGGACTGAGATCAACATCGGCTGAGAATGTGATTCGATGCATAAAGTCGGTCTTTGCTAGACATGGAATACCTCAAGAAGTGTTTACTGACAACGGCCCACAATTTGCCAATGCCCAATTCACACAGTTTGCCAAAGAGCGGGAATTTGTACATTCTACATCAAGCCCATATTTTCCACAGTCCAATGGTCTGATTGAAAAATCTGTTGGAATTGTCAAAAAACAAATGCGAAAAGCTGAAGAGAGCAAAAGTGAGTTTTATAAAGCACTGCTAGCATGTCGCAACACGTCACTTGCATTTGGTTACAACTTCTCATGGCAAGACACCTGCGTACTAATCTACCTATGAAGGATGACCTGCTTGCAACAAGTAAAGGTGCACAGGTAAAGCAGTTTAAAGAGAAACAGAAAGTCTATTTCAACTCAAGAGTTAAATCTTTACCTGAACTGCATAAGGGAGAAAAGGTGAGGATTAAGGACAAGGACAATACATGGTTACAGAAAGGTTCTAAAGAGGAACAAGTACAACCAAGATCTTACACAATTCGGACAGAGGAGGGAAGGATTCTTACAAGGAATAGAAGAGACATTCTAAAAAAACCAGAGCAAAAATGTTCCAACACTGAATCGGAGACTGATCAGGTTGTTAGACGGTCTAAGTGATTTTTGGATATGTTGGTCACCCTGATCAGGGCTATCTGGGGATGTAACATTTAGGGGTGTTTTATGAATTTTTAAGGTACTTTTGGGGTGTTTGTAAAATGTGTGTTTTTTGTGCCTGGAGATAATTGAGTTTTGTACAGTTTCTGACTCAATTATCTCCCAGGCATAGGGGAGGGATTATCATGTTTTCTGTGGGAGTATCATGGGCATGCTTACCTGTGTTTGAAACTGTATAAAAGCAAGCCATCTGGCCAGATTAAACATATTCCAGCTTGTACTCCCAGAACTATGTGTCGTCTGGTTACTGGGAGGGGAAAGGGCTACTCTTCAATCACTGATCCAGTGTGGAGGATTCAACCGGGAAAGTCCTTGTAAGGACTAGAGCTCCCAGGACTGAGTGTCATCCAGTGCCTTGGGGGGGTAGAGCAAATTCCCTATTCGGCTCCAGGAGGGAGCGGTTCCAGGACCCCAGTCATGCCATAGCAACTGTGGGCAAGAGTGCTGAGATTTGTCCCATGTTCCAGCTAGGATGCGGTCCTTGGTGGAGGTACCCAGCCAGGGGTACAGGGAGCTCCGTTACAGTACCGTTTCATCTCTGAGCATTTAGTGTGCTATTTGGAAGAGTGGTTCCCAACCTTTTTATGGAGAAAGACATACTTCAATAAGAAAGACATTTTCAAGGCACACCTACTTTATTTTCTTTTTACCTTCAGCAGCAGTTTATAAAAGCACATTTACTTGATGCCTTACTAGTGATATATGCATATTTCTATCCAGACTTAGTTATAATTAATTGGAGGAATCATAATTTTAATGCTGACAGTTATTAAAAACACATTTTGAAGACCACGTTCAACCTATTCAGCCCAGAAGTCAATGTGTTTGTGGCAAGAGTAATACTAGCCATAAGTCAGCATAGGTGAATGCCCAAGACTTGGTTCAGACAGGGGCCACAGAGGTGCAGACCATAATACTTTGCCAGAGAACCTTTAAGAAATGCCCTACACGAAACAACAGGGATTATACACCCCTCCTGCAAAAAGCTGAGCAGATCAAGGACAAAAGAAAAAAATAGGGGACACTGAGAGGAGAGGCTTCCCCACACACTCAACCGCCTTTCCCCACACACTCAACCACCTTTCCCAACAAAGACAACATTCAGCCTCCACACACAGACACACTTAGCCTCCCCATGTACAGCTTTCAGCCTTCTCCACACACACCATACTCAGTCACCACACTCTCACAAACAACACTCAACCAAATCTCAGTCTTTCCCACACACATACAACACTCAGCCACCACACACAAACTCATACAGAACACTCAACCACTTAACACAACACTCTGCTGCTTCGATTCACAGAAATAGCTCAGGGCACTAGGGAGGGGCTCCAAGACATCCTGCTTAGGTTCCTGTGCAATCTTAAATCAGCTCTGTTTGTGCAAATTTTAATGTAGTTTGAAGCACACCAGTGCCAACCACTTAACGATCCTTGTACTTGCGCAGGCCACATACAATACCATAAAACTTTACCATTGTGCCTCACTGAAGCTAACATTGAGTTTTTAAGGCTGCATCCTTTCCCTGAAGGAGTTAATTAAGGACCAAGCTAAATTCCTGCACTCTTTAAGAAGTCTGAGTATTATTATACTATTCAAATGGTCACTTGATTAGATAAAGCCTTGGGTTTCCAAGTTTAATCTTATAGGTAAGCACTAATATCACACATCCAGATCACTGTGACCTGCTTCTTTACATTACAGCAAAACGTAAAAATCCCCCCATTCCTTCAAGCATCTGCTTATCTCTTTATTTTTAAATATTACAGCTCCTTAACATCTGTCCCTATGGTGCATAATCTGACTGATGAAATATTTCATGTTTTCTTTGAGCTCCTGTCAATATGCCTCCCTGTTATTAGTTTAGCAGATGGCAGCACAGAAGGAATATTCTCAGCTTACCTGGTTGGCTTCATTAAACAGGAAATGTGATGCAAAAGATTTTGTTATATTTTATATTAATGCAACAATAATATTAATACATTGGGCTTTGGTGAGTCAGTGGCATACCTAGGCTTTTTTTCATGCAAAATTAATTTAAACAATATTTTCTTTCCCATAAGCCATAAATGTTAACAGCTTTCTTACAAAAACATTAGCATAACTGTATTTCTTTCTTGTTAAACAAAATTAAAAAAAAAAAAATTTAGCTTGGAGATCAGAACTGTATATTAAATTAGGTATCTGACACTGTCTTATATAAGCCTATTACATTTCATTGAGAATTATTACTAAAGTGATAATTCAAAGTGTATTCAAAATTCATTTCAAATTTAAGGCCACAATAGCTGAAGTAGAAAACTTCTTAGTCAGATATGGTTCAGTTTGGTTAGTTTGGCCTTAACTTTTTGAATTCTCACTTTTGTGAATAGCCCTTTTTAATTGTGGTTTTGTTTTTATTCACCAAAGCAGCGTTTCCCAATTGGTGTTCCGTGGAATTTTTAAAAATAAAATGGCCGCGGGCGGTGAAGAAGCAGTAGGCAATGATTGTGGCTTCTGGGCTGAGCGTGCGGTCCCTGGGGTCCAGTGAGGTTGCTGGGCTGAGCGTGCAGACCCCAGAATCCAGTGTGGCGTCTGAGCGGCTGGCGTGCGGGCAGCGAGGGAGCAGTGATCTCCCTGTTCAGCTCCCACGTGCGCCTCTTAGTGATGCCAGAGCCAGAGTGACATCATATTCCGGCTCCAGAAGCCCCACTGGACTCCGGGGTCTGCACACTCAGCTCAGCAGCCTCACTGGACCCCAGGGACCGCACGCTCAGCCCAGCAGCCACAATGGACTGCAGGGACTGCACACTCAGCCCAGCAGCCTCACTGGACCCCAGGGACCGCATGCTCAGCCCAGCAGCCACACTGGACCAATGGAACACAGAGACTCCATGCCAGCCCTCCCAAAGATAGGGGGGCTGGGTGGAGTAAAATCTTAAAAAAATAAATAAATTGTAGGTGTATCTGTTAGGGAGTATGTATGTGTTTTTGTGTCTGTCAAAGAGTATATGTGTGCTTGTCAGTGAGTGTGTGAGTGTGTATGTGTTTGTCAGTGAGAATGTATGTGTGCTTGTCAGTGAGAATGTATATGTTTGCATGTGTGTCCGTAAAATAGTATGTGTGTTTGTCAATGAGAATGTATGTATGTCTGTAAAAGAGTATGTGTGTTTGTCAGTGAGAGTGTATGTGTGTCTGTCAAAGAGTATGTGTGTCTGAGTGTGTCAGTGTGTTTATCTGTGTGTCAAGGTTTCACTGTGTGTATCTAAGTGTGTATGTCAGTATGTGTGTGTGTATGTGCCAGTTGTTATCAGTGTGTTTGTATGTGCCCATGTGTATGTGTGTATGTCAGTGCATGTGTATCTAAGTGTGGCAGTGTGTGTGTATATGACAATGTGTGTATGTGTCAGTGCGTGTATCTGAGTGTGTGTATGTGCCAGTGTGTGTATCTGTGGGTACAAATATGTGTATATGTCACTGTGTGTACCTGAGTGTGTGTGTATTTGTGAGTCAAAATGTGTGTGTCAGTGTGTATCTGTGTCTCAGATACACACAGTGTAACCACTGACAGAGATACACACACTGGCACATACAAACACAGATATACACACCTTGACACACACCGGCACATACAAACACAGATACA